CTCTGTCAAATAAATAAATAAAAAATCTTAAAAAAAGAAAAAGAATTACTTTAAAAAAAAAAAAAAGAAAGAACCTGGTTTGAATAAGCAAATCATAAGATATTTTTGGTACAATTGTGGGGAAATTTGAATAAGGATTTGGTACTAAATGATATGAGAAAGTAAATGTTACTTTACTTAGGTGTCATAAAATGGTACTATGGTTATAGAAGAAAATGTCATTTTCATAGACGTGCATACTGAACTATTTAGTATGTTACGATGGATGACAACAGCAAAAATGGCAAAGTTAAGGACCTCCAAACACTCCTGAATTAAAACAATGAAAAAACTGGTAAAAAATGTCAGAATAAACTTTTTCAGAACTCTGGAAATTAACTAAAGGCTTATAGCAACCCTCCAGTGGAGGATTCTAGTTGGGAAGTGAAGGCTGTGGAACAGGGGTGAGAGGGAAAGATTTTACTATATACCCACATGTAAGTTTTGTCCTTTTGGAGTTTAATAGGGATCCATCCTGAGTAAATAATCAGAGACACCAACACATATAAATATGTTCACCCCAAATGTGAACTAGGCAATAGGCTAAATGCTTCACATTAAAGAAGTTAGGTAAAAAAGGCATATCCATGGGATAGAATATTTTGTGGCTATTAAAATATTTATAAACAATGGCATAAGGACATTCTTATGAAGTAATATTTAAAAGGTCAGGTTTATGAATTGGTTTTCAACTTTTACAGTCAACCCCTAGTTAATATAGAGTATTAATCACAAGGCAATGTAAATGCTAACAACCTTGACAATGTAAAGGAAAATGTACGATTCACAGAAGGTCAGAAGAAGAAAGAACAGTGTACTAATGTCTGTATCTTATAAAGTGGGTAATCAAGAGAGACTGACGGAAGCTGAGAGGAAGAGAAACAGAGGCTAAGTTTATACATCAAGAAATAGTGGTATAAACCCTATTAGCTTGAGTTTTGGAGGTAATGACCAGGAAAAAAGAAAACTAGAAGGTTGTCTTTCAGGCATGGGACTGGAGGTGAGGAAAGCAGAGGTGAAGACCACTGTATTTCATCCTAAACTCCTCTGTGCTATATGATTTGCTATCCTATACACATTAATTTAAAAGTCAAAAAAAATTTAAAGCAAGATACAGGATTGTATACACACTGTAATTTCAACCATAAAAAGAAATACATAGGAAAAACAGATTTGAAGGTAACACGTCAAAACATTAATACAGGGGCTGCCTCTGGGTAGCAGAATCAAGGGTGGTTTCTTCCTTACACGTTCTTCTATTTTCTGTATTTTCCAACTTTCCTACTGTGCTAATCAGCCAGAAACTATAGGGAAAAAATACAATCAGAAAATAGTAACATTTGCTGACTGACTCACTAAGACAGCACTTCTAGGATTACCCTACCACCCCATTCCCCCAACCCCAAGCAAATAGCAGAAAGGCCAGATAAGGATGGGTGGAGCCAGCAGGGGATTTCCTAGGGAACCATGGGTACTGAGGTGCGAGCACCGTCTGTGGCAGACTGTTGCAGTACTGGCTTTCAACTTGCCCACATCTCCCTGCATGCAGACGAGGATTCTGCAGCTCCCTGTCTCAAGAGATGTAATCTATATCTCCACCCCTGGAATTGAGGCTCGACCATGTAACTTGCTTTGGCCAGTGGGACAACGGAAAACAAGACACAGGCAGAGGCTTGAAAAGTGCTTGCAAACTGGGGCTTTCCCTCTCTTGCTAATGGACATGCTTCTGCTTTATTGTGAAAAAGTGCTTGCGCTGGCTTCCTGGTGGACCAGGAGAGTCCACATGGAGAGAGGCACTAGCCACCCCAAATTAGGTCTAGACTCCTGATGAAGATCTTTTTAGACCACCCAGCCTGGGGCCAAGCCAGTCAAGACTAGAACAATAGCTTAGCCAACCTACAGAATCATGAGAAATGATCGGCTGTCATTGTTCTAAGCCACTAAGTTTGGGGTCATTTGATAAGCAGCAAAAGCTAACTGACACACCCTCCAACTTGAAACTACCCAACCAGTGAGATGAATAAAATTCTTTTATACCCTCTAAATTCCATGTTCAACTCAATGATCATTCTTTCTTCCTTCCTCAGAGCTGGCCTCTCAGCCAGTACAGGTGACAATCTAAGGATTCTTGGGCCTTGTAGAGTTCAACAGTCAGCAGAATTTCCTTCATTTGACAACATATTACTAAAGGTCTGGGATGATGGTAGCAGAATGTTCTCAGAAGCCTCAGACTGCTGGCTGGAATCCACTCAAGGTCTTCTTTTCATCTCAAGCCATATAACATCAGAAGCAACATGCTCCATTACCTCTGACTTTGCTGAGCTGAGTGCATGAAATGTGTCTTATCACGATCATTTTCACTCCAGCACCTAACACGGTACCCTAGCACACAGGTGGTACTCAACAAATGTTTGCTGAGTAAACAAATGAGTGACTGAATCATGTCTTCTTATGTTAAATATCCCAACTACCCCCAGCCTATTTTCCCCAAACCATACCTACAGAGTTTAAGGACAGAATACTGGATCACCTTTAGGACTCCATGGAGCATCATCTGAATTCTTCTTTTTCTTGGGTCGAGATTTCAAAGCAGGGTCATCATCATCAGACTCCAGGGAAGGGTAAACTGCAGTGAGAGGGAAAAGCAGGGTAAACTGAGATTTCATCCAGAAGGGTGAAGACAGAATGATACTTACACCTCAGCTCCTCCCACTCCCCTACCAGTAGACCCTTTACTTAATCCAGACTCAAATGCAGGAATCCCTGAATGTGCCACATACTCTTCATGTCTTTCTACTTTTGTACCTTTGCTGCAAATATCCTTCTCCAAGTATCACCTAATTCTGATTCACTCATTCAACATCCATTTAGTGAGTAACCTCATGAGTTACTTTACTGACCCTGCAAAATTCAGCTCTAGATTCACTTCCTAAGAAGCCTTTCTTGTTCTAATCTGATTCAGATGTCTCAACTCTGCAGAGTATCCTGGGTGTACCTCTACTAGAGTTATTTGTTATATAGTATTTGAGAGTTGAAAAGCAAATATGTCACCCCCAATTTACTGTGAGGGCAGGGATAAGTATTATTTGATTTCAAAATAAGGGAGCCTAACACAATGCAAAGTAGGTACTCAATAAATGTTGGCTGAAATGGAAAAAGAAATGCTATACACATTATTCGCACAAAGGGAACAAAAAGACCACTTGGGCTGAACTGGCAACAAGATTACTGAAACTGAATGATCTGAACGGCAAAACACACACAAGTATCTCATTCTATACACATACACACAAACATCCAGTTTTATCACACTCTCCTCACAATCCACAGGCAACACGTGTAGAATTTAATGGGACAATGATGTAGATAGATCCTACTGATGAAGTCAAACTCTGTTGTTACTGCTTCTAAACCTAAAAGAGAAGCAAAGTGAGAGTGAAACTTCTTCCTAGTGATCCTACTCCTCCTAATGACCAGCCTCAAATTTCTCTAGAATTCTGCTTCATCAGAGGAATCCAGTCTCATACTTCCTTCTAGTAGGACCTCTTTATAGGAAAATGAGTTCATTTCTCAGGCCTTCTTTTCTTGGGCAAAGAGGTAAAACCCCTGCCTTTATTAAAGAATCTTTAAAAAAAAAAAAAAAAGAGGGGTCACCGATTGTCCCTCAAAAGAAATGACTGCTGGTAACAGTTGTTTGAGAAAGATCCCATTCCTAATAGCCCCAGTGGCTGTCAATGTTATTTTGTTGGGTCTGAAAGGGTTTTCCATCTCAAGGAAAGAAGTATGGTATGGTAGAAAAACCTTGAGTCTAGGGATCAGATATGACTTTGAAATCCTGGACTGACTCACTATCTTTGTAACTTAGGAAAACTTCTCTAGGTCTCACTATCTTCACCCGTAAAATTGAAATAATACCACCTGCTTTGAAAAGTTGTGAGGATTGAGAGATAATAAGCATAAAGTAACATGCAAAAAGAAATTCCATTCTAAGGTTCATGTCTTATTCAAGAGAGGTTAAGATGTAGATAATAAGTAAGTCTAGACATTTAAAGAAAATGCAAGTTAAAATATGCATATTAAAAATATAAAGGTAGAAGGAATGATGCCCCCCAAATGGAATTAGGAGCTCCAAGTATTTGTCCCTCCACTGTAGCAACTGTTGAGCTAGCAAAAACTGTAAGAATAAACATTTTGGGGACTCTGGAATACAATCAAAAACTTACAACAAGGGGAAGGCTTAACAACAACAACAACAAAATCTGCTCAATTTGGTATTTAAGTAAATTTCTGTCAAGAAATCTCAGTTGACCAATGAGGCTACAGAATGGATACTTCAGTGACCACACACAAAAGGACAGTCTACAAAAATCCTTTGAAAAGTCACTAAATAAACAGATAACTTGTAGCTCACAGTAAGCAACAACAGCAAACTCTGGGGAGGGAGGAAAATAGGACTTCCAGAGTTACCACATTATATAATATTCAAAATGTCTCAGCTTCAGAAAAACTTATGAGGCATGCAAAGAAACAAGAAAGTATGTCCTACTTACAGAAAAAAAGAAATTGATATAAACCGTCCATGAGGAAGCTGACATTGGACTTACTATACAAAGGACTTTAAATCAACTGCCCTATATGATCAAAGAGAACCCTGTTTCAACAAAAAATAGAATATCAATAAGGAGATAGAAAATATAAAAAGGAACCAAATAGAAATTCTGGAGCTGGGGGCGCCTGGGTGGCTCAGATGGTTGAGCGTCTGCCTTCGGCTCGGGTCATGGTCTCAGGGTCCTGGGATCGAGTCCCGCATCGGGTTCCCTGCTCGGTGCAGAGCCTGCTTCTCCCTCTCCCTCTGCCACTCCCTCTGCTTGTGCTCTTCTGTCTATCTCTCTGTCAAATAAAAAAAAAAAAAAAAAAAAAAATTCTGGAGCTGAAAAGTACAATGTGGTGGTGAAAAATTCACTACAGGGATTCAATAGTTAAGATTTTGAGCAGACAGAAGAAATAATCAGTGAATGTGAAGAAAGCACAATTAAAATTATCCAGTCTGATGAGCACAAAGAAAGAAGAAAAAATGAACAGAGGCAAAGGGGCCTGTGGGATGCTATCAGGCTTACCAACATATTCATATGGGCGTCCCAGAAGGAGAGGACAGAGAAAAAAGAGGCAGAAAGACTATATGAAGGTATAACAGACAAA